TCTCCTCCGGGGCAGGCGGGAATCGAACTCATGCGGAAGTGGCTTTAGCTTCTCAGTGCTGTGCTTTAACCCACTGCGCCACCAGGGAGGGCCCATCCAGCAGCTTCTTAATGAGCACCTTCCATGTGGTAGGGATCATTCCAGGTACGGGGGCACCGCAGTTGCCAAGACGAGGCAACCCCTGTCTCCAGGGAGGCCCTTCTCGTCAGCAGACTTAGGAACCTTGTCACGTGGCATCGCTTCTTTGGGGGACACAAAGGAAGTCTGACAGGATGCCTTGAGGACGTGAGGGCGGTGGCTGCTCTTTTGAACTGGTCTTTGGGAAAATTGTGCCTGAGGTGACACATCAGCAGAGACCTGGATAAAAGATGAATGAGAAACATAAGGTATCTGAGAGGAAGCATTCCAGGTTAGAGGAACTGTAATGCAAAGGCCCTGAGGTAGCAGTCGGTCAGAGGAATAGCGTGAAGGCCGAACACAGTCAGATGCCAATTCACACCTGTGAGAGTGACCCTTGTCAAGAAAACTAGAAACAACAGGTGTTGGCGAGGTGCAGACTGGTCCAGCCCTCTGGAAAACAATGTGGATGTTTCTCAAAATGTTAGAAATATTTGTTGGATCAGAATACCACGTGATCCAACAATTGCACTCCTAGATAGCTACGCAAAAGCATTCACTTAAAGGAGTGTGTTCAGTGTGGCACAATTTGCCATAGCCAAGTTTCAGAAACTATGTAAGTGCCCAAAGACAGATGAGTGGATGCAGAAGATGTGTACTATAACAACGGAATACTACTCAGCTATGAACAGAGGAAACCTTGCCATTTGCAACAACATGGATGGAGCTGGAGGGAAGGATGCCAAGTGAAATAAGTCAGAGGAGAAAGACAAATACTGGAAGGTCTCACTTCTAAGTAGCCTATAAAGAAACAAAACAAATGGTCAGACAGAAACAAACCAACAACAAAAACAAACCCTAGAACTGTGACTTGAATTGAAGCCTTCAGAGAGGGAGAGGAAGGCGGGGCCCAGGGCAAAGGGGGCCCAGGGGCTCTGAGCAGGTGGAGGGTGTGGGGTGGTGACGTGCCTCTCAAGAGGTGGAGTTGCTACCTCTGTGGCATAGAGAGTGCTGGTAACCAGCGCTCCCTTCATAAAAGAAAAACAAACAAACAAAAAAATCCCAGAAAAACCAGGTGGTCAGGTGCTTAGAATGGAAAGCAACAGAGGAAAAGTGGAAGGAAACGTGCTTAGAAAGATCGAGCGTCCAGATAATGAAACAAAAGGATTTGGACAACAAAAAGGACCTGACATTTATGAAAAGGCTTCTTTATTGACACACAGCTACATGCCCAGCAATGGAACAATTCCATTTCTCCAGAAGTTTCTTCATGCCTGGTCACACCCTCTGCAAATCCAGAGATAATCTTCATGCCGGTTTCTCTTACCAGATGTTCGTTTTGCCTTTTCTGGAGACACCAATGGAATCAGGGAGAGGCCTCCGTGGCTGGAGGCCTCCGTGGCTGGTGTCCCGGCTCCACTCACTGTGTCAGGCTCCTCCAGGCTGCAGCATGAGGCTCTTCTCAGCTCTGCAGTGTTAGTCTGAGTGGCCAGGGGCCTTTGGAGCAGGCAAACACTTGCACTCATCTGCATTTTGAAACACCCAGCTTGGCTGTGTGAGAAGCAGGGAGAACAGGATGGGGCCAGTGCAAGTTTCCTACAGCTCAGAAACGTGCCACAAACTGGAGGTTGGGAGGTTTCAGACAGCAGTGGTAATTAATGCTCACAGTTGGGGGGCCACAAGCCTGCAGTCAGGGAAGCAGTAGGCCCCTGCTCCCCTGAAGCTCTGGGGACGGGTCCTGGCGTTCCTTTGCAGGTCTGGTGGTTTCAGGAGCCCTGTGGCTTCACCACCTTCAACCCCCTTGTTTTCTCTTCTTAGAAGGGTGGCGTCCGGGGGGACACTGTGCAGCCCCGGGTGGGACCCACGGAGCAGTCGGGGCCGAGGATGGTGGCTCAGGACGGTGATGGGAGGGTGCTGGGGTTTGAGAGGGCAGCTGGAGGATTTGCCCTAAGGTAGGCTTTGGGGGTATAAATGAACTTGAGTTGTCACAGGTGACTCCAGTGTCTGGGGCCCAAACAACTGGGAGAATGGGGTTGCATTTTCCCACGGGGATGAAGGCTGGGGTAGGAGCAGGGCTGAGAGGTAGATACAGAAACTCCCTTTTGACGTGTGAGGTTTACGAGGCCCTGCTGGACCTCCAGGTGAGGGGTGGCATGGAACCAGAGTGAATGTGGAGTTCAGAGGAGGAGCTAGGTTTCCACCCTTTTCTGCACAAGAGGGTGGCAGTAATGGGGGCGGATGAGATCAACCAGGGAACGTGCGAGTGAAAGGAAGACCCAGGCCCTGGAGGTAGCCAGGAGGCTGGGAGGGCGATGGGTGGGCAGCTCACAGTCTGTGCATCAGGACGTTTGAAGAGCTGGTTCGCAAAAGCGCTCCCATAGTGCCTGCAGTGTGGCCCTGCAGAATAGTGAATGGGAGCTCTGTGTGCGTCTGCGTTTTCAATGAAAACAAAGTGAAGAACAGTCCACCGTGTTAGGGGAGACGCGTAGGTGGTGTTCTTGATAGACTTGGGAAAACTCCTTGATTCCCAGCAGAGAAGACCCTTCTCTCGCCAAGCCCTGGGGGCTTCTGGAAAGCACTCCCTGCCCCCAGGCTCCCTCTCTCTGCCCGGAGCTGACATCACCAGGGCAGCTTGTGGCAAGCGCTGGCTCGGAGTACAAAGACCTGAGTGTGAGCAGTGTGGGGCCTGGCATCTCCCAGCTGCCGCAGCCCTGATTGCCCCGTCTGTGCCAGGGGTCGACATGGGGACAACAGCCCTGGAGCTGCTGCCAGAGCAGGACCCCGGGGTCGCCCAGATTCTGCTTGTGCGGGGGGGGGGGGTGGCTTTTGAGGTCCCTGAGAGGCAGTGTGCAGAGCTGAGACTTGGGCCAGTCCTGGCATCTTTCTGTGCCAGTTTCCCACCTGGGAAGGGATACAGTCGTCCCTGTTTGTTCTAGGAGATGAACTTGAACTTGACTTGCACAAGAGGCAAGAGGCACAGGTGAGCTCTGATGCAGGTGGACAGTGAGGCCAGGAGTGGTGTGGCTTATGGGGATGTTTTTGATCCCGATGGAGGTGTGGTTTGCGACCTCTAAATCCAGATAGATTCTTGTAATGATGCTCATGCACCCCCCTTCCAGGTAAAGAAATAAAATTTTCGGTAGAGGTCGAGGATTCCAAGTTCACTTTCCAAGTCTGGTTACCCTCCCTCCACAGAGGTGCCCCCGCCAGAATTTGATACCTTTCTTTCCCATGCATGTCTTTCTACTTTACCACAAATGTGCTCTCCATAAATAAGGCCTGGTTTGGCTCTGGGTGTCTTTAAAGCTTTATTTAAGTAAATACTCTTCTTTTTTTTTTTTTTTTTTTTTAAAGTAAATCAAACTCTTTTTTGCTCAGGTATGATTTGAAGTTCATCGTGCTGCCCGGCACAGCTTTAGGCATCCTTCGGATGCCATTATTATAAGTCCACTGCAATTGCATTTTCCCATGGGCTGGGTATCTAGTTTGCTGCCCAGTTCTGCTATTCCAAACAAGACTCTCTTGACCGTCCATGTTCCTGCCTCTGAGAGCATGTTTGTGGATCAGGATTTGGCAAGCGGTTCTGTAAAAGGTCACATAGTAAATATTTTAGGTTTTGTGCTTCTCTCATCTCCCCTCAGCTCTACCACGATAGCCGGGAAGTGGCTTCATGTAAAAAATGGATGCAGCTGGCTGGTAAAACTTTAATTGCCAAAGCGGGGAGTGGGCAGGATTTGGCCCACGGGCCATCGGTGCCCACCCTGCTGCAGGCTTTGTGCTGGGCGGTATAACTGTCACATCCCACCTCCCCTGGCTGTTGCTTCCAGGGTCCGTGGCTGCCTCTGGAGAGCGTAGCCCTGGGTTATGGGGGTGGGGATGGGGGTGGACAGATCCCTTTGCTGTACCTGCTGCAGCTTCTCCTGTCTCTTTGCAGAGTTGCATGCTTCTGGGAGGCCGGAAGACCACCGACATCCCCTTGGAGGGCTACCTGCTGTCTCCCATCCAGAGGATCTGCAAATACCCACTCCTCCTCAAGGTGAGGCCTTCGCCCGACTCTTTCCCATATTTGAAGTGACAGAAAACCCACTTCTGATGGGCCTAATCACAAAATCTGTACGTGTGGGACAACTCAGGGCAGGTCAGCTCTGGACTGGACGCTGCCTCTCTCTCCCTGCTCAGCTTTGCTTTCCACTGTTCAGCTTTCTTTCCGTGTGGCAGCGATGTCACAGTTACTCCGGCCTTCCGCCCTCGAGTTCGAGGGCAGAGGGAAAGAATGACCCTTTCTGCTGGTAGCTCTCAGAAGGCCTGAGAGTCACTCAGTCTGTGGCAGGAGAATGTGGTTTGGACCTGAGTCAGAGCTTTAACTGGAACCAGTAATGAACGTGAGGCCTCCGTGCCATTTACCTGTGCGTTATGGCCAGGGTGGTGTGAGTCTCACTGGCGAGACGACAGGGAGCCAATCAGCGAGCAGGTGTCATGTGCTCTGACCTCCACGCAATCTCTGGGTCCCACACTCCAAAGCCCAGTGAGGGGGATAGGTGGGTTTCTCCTTCACAGGAATCCAGGCTATTTATGGATCAGCCCAGGCGCACCGAGGCAAACGGTCACCATCTCCCTCTGACTTGGCCTTGGGAGGTTTCGGGGCCCGAGTGCCCTGAATGTCTACCTTAGGGCTGACTTCTGGACAGAGCCCCAGCTGGGGGTGGCTCTGCTACCGTCTGCTGTTCTCAGCGCAGGGTTTTCAGTGCTCGGATATGAGGGCTGCTGGCCTGAGCCTGCTCCCCTCCACGCTGAGGGCCTGTTGACAGCTGTTCCCTGGTGTGCCTGCTGGTGGATTCATTTGGGTGGTGCCTCATTCATGCACCTGCCCACTAGGGCCACAACCGTCCTTGTTCCACGAAGAGCAGGAGGAGAGAGCACAGGGAACGGGTGCTGGGGAATTCTTGGATTGACTCTCTGCTAGTGAGGTGGGTGGCATCTGGCCTTTGAGCTGAACCAGACCCTGGGCATCTGCTCTGCCTGTGAGCAGAGCCGTGGGTAGCCGTGGGCGGTGGGAAGCGCGGACAGTGCATGTGGCCCCGCCCCTCTTCCCCGGGCCGCTGCTGCTTGTCCCACCCCGGGGTCTCAGAAGGACCTTCTGTCGCTTTTGCAGCCGCTTCCATGCAAGCAGATGTTGGAAATACTGTGGCAGCCGGTGCTTCACCTTGGTGTGGGAGAAACCGCAGGTGGGGCTTGTCAGGTAGCTGGCGGGCTGAACGGGACCTGCAGGTCTGTCTATTTGACCATTTTGGTGTGAATTCCAAACTTGAAATTGTCGCCGTGGAAGAGGTAGAGTTCTGCAGTGGTTTAGGGCAGAGGCTGGCAAAGCTGTGACGGGAGCCAGCCCCGGCCCACGCCTGTCTTTGTACAATCTGTGAGCGAAGAATGATGTTCACATTTTTTAGAGGGTTGGAAAAACAAAACAAAAACAAAGAAGGATATGTGACAGAGACTGGGTGTGGCCAGCTATCGGCCCTTTCAGAAAAAGTTGGCCGGGCCCTGGGACAGAGTGAGCGGGCAGAGCCTGCCGTCACCACCGCGGGCTGCCTGGGCTTGAGCTGCTGCACGGCCACTTACTGGGTCCGGTCCTGGGCCTCACTTCCTGTGCCCATTTCTCTCCTGCAGTACAGAGCATGCATTATAGTCCTGATGGGTCCTTACAAGGACTGAGCACCTTATTTACGTGACTCTCAAGGCACCTTAGTAGGTGTGCGACTCGCCTCATTGTTGAGACGAGGCAGCTGAGGCACAGAGAGAGGGCGTGGCCGTCCACTACCAAGCAGGAGGAGCCACGCTTGAGCCTGGCCAACCTGACCCTGGGCTCCGCCCCAACCCTCGCACGCTGCCTGTGGGGAAGCCCTGAGGACAATGAAGCTGCAGGGGGCGGTGTCTGGGATGCCGCTTCAGTTCCCTGAGTGGGGTTCTGGGGAGGCCCGTGGCCTTGTGTTTTGTGGCTGAGTGCCTGGTCTGCTCCTCCTTTTCTAGGCGTTAGAACCTTCAAAATCTGACCCAGTAGGAGAGCCAGCAGCTCCAGGCAAGGCCCCAGCCGAGGCTGACTTAGGCGTCAACCCTTTGGTTTCTGGATCGTGGGCAGTCTGGGTGCCGGCGGGTCCTTGGGCGGCACGGGTTATTGCATATTTCATGCCCAGCAAGGCTTGCCCGTGTGTACAGAGAAACTAAGCACTCCAAGTGAGGCCCAGGCTTTCTTGAGGCCCACTCATCCTGGGGCCTGCTAATTCTTGGGCTCTGGATTCCTGGGAGAACAGAGCAACAGAACTGGCTGGCAAATGACAGAGGAATAGTCGTCCATGGACATGAAGGTGGAGCTGGGTTGTGGCTTTGCTGTCCTGACCCACGCTGCTTACACACCCGTTCCCTCTCTCTCAGCTGTGTGTATGGGGCGGGTAGGAAGCTCCGAGAACATGGCGGGGGGCAGCGGCAGGACCTCAGGTTTTGTGGGGCATTCCGTGTGCCCCTGCTCCCCTCTCCCCCACACCCCCTACAGAATGGCTCAGTGTCCCAGCCTTGGGCACCCACAGCTGGAATGTTTGCATCAGCTGCAGCTGGGACTGAGGGGGAACACTTCATCCTTCACCCCTGCCAGCGCTCCTTCTCTCCGTCACATTTTCCAGTGGGTTTTAAAAACCGATCCCAGACTCTTGGGGCAGCTGAGTGCAGGCCTCATCCTCCCCTTCGACCCTTCCAGTTCTGGCTGCCGGCAGATGTCACGGGCCCTTGTTTGAACTGAACTCTGAATTGAGTAGGAGATGGGGTCAAGGTGCCTGGGTGGAAGGAGGGAAATGGCAAGAATGAAAGCCTCTTTGGGAACAGTCCCCCCAAAGCTGAAGTTGAGCATTGCCTAAGAATAGCCGGAACATTCTATTTTAGCCTGCTGCTCGGGCTCCACAGTTGGCATTTGCAGGCTTTGTTGAGTTTTCCGTGGATGTTTCCAGGGAAATGATTCAGGTTTGGGGGAATGCCCTGGGGGCTCCAGTGGCAGGTGCCGGGGAGACAACTGCCTGTGAGCTCCCGGCAGATCTTGTGGGGTCCCTGGCTGCCCAGTAGTGAGCAAAGACCCAGGCCCTGCCCTGCCCCTTGTCGCTGCCGGCCTTGGACGGGACCCCGGCGGGGGGCAGGGCCAGCAGAGGCTGCGCATCTGGCTGAAGGGGGCAGCTGCCACGCCAGCCCCGCCCCCCACAGGCCCCTCTGCTCTCTGGCCAGCTCCTTGCAGACCTGCAGCCTTAGGTGGGTCCATGGCCCCGTCCTTGGGCCTCCTCTCTGTCTAGACTTGCTCCCCATGTGGCCTCATCACTCGGTGACTTTTTTTTTATTAGTCTATTCGCAGATTGTGCAACCATCACCACAGTCATTTTAGAACGTTTCCATCCCCCCACAGAACTCGGGGCCCACAGGCATTCACTTCCCCTCTCCCCCCTCCCCCTGGCAGCCCCTCATCCACTTCCTGTCTCTGCCCAGTCTGGACATTTCAGATCAAGGGGCTCACATGCCAGCCCGCCTCTGTGTCTGGCTTCTCTCATTTAGCACGGGGTCTGCAGGGCTCCTGTGCGCTGTGGCCTGAAGCAGCGTCGCGCCCACGGCCGCGTCAGGGCCAGGCCACGCCGTGTTCTCACTCACCTGTCAGCGGTTGCTACCCCCTGGCTGCAGCGAAGGGCGCTGCTGGGAGCATGCCCGTGCAGGTTTCTGTGATGCCCCCGTGGCTTTCGGGCCCGGTTGGGGCCCGTGGCTGCAGCGGCCTCTCGCCTGCTGTCTCGCCCCCTCAGCGGCCCCGCATGGGTGTCTGCAGGCTCTCCCACCTACACGTCCCCGCCCTGCCTCTCCCCTGCTCCATAGCCGGCCTCTCCATCTTTCCGGTTGCTCAGGCCAAGTCTGGGGGTTATTGTTGGCTCACCCCACTTCCAGTCTATTCGGAAGCCCCGTTGACGCTGCCCTCAGAATCTATCCAGAGTCCAGCCTGCTGTAGCTTCTCTTCTGCTTTCTCTCGGCCGCAGCTCCCAGTGGCTCTGCCTCCCTCTGCTGCCGTCCTCACAGTCTCTTCTGGACTCAGCTGTGAAGCCCAAGTTGGCTCACATCACTCTTCCCCTGCTGCTACTGGGTCACCCAGGGTAAACCCAGGCTCCTCACCGTCATTGCCACCTGCGAGGCGCTGCATGGCCTAACCCACGGTCCTTCTCCTCCTCCCTCCCTCCTCGCTGCTGCACCACCCACACTCACTGCCCTGCTGGTCTTCAAACACAACAAGTAGGTTCCTGCCTCAGGACCTTTGCATCTGCTCTGCCCTCTGCCTGGGTTACTATTATCTCAGATGTCCTGAGGCCCACTCTAATCTTGTCAGGCCTCTGTGCTCCGATGTCCCCTCCCTGGAAAGGGGCTTCCCCAGCATGGTGCCTGGCACTCGGTGGTCCCCCAGTTACTTACTGAATGGCTGTGGAGATGCCATCCCAGGTGCCATTTGTTTCCATGGTTGGGCAAAGATGGAAGCTGGGTTGCAATGCAGAGACCTCTGGCTTCTTGGGCCTTTTCAGCAAGATGGTGCAGTACCAGAGCTCTGGCAGAGGAGGTGTCTACTGTGAAAACCCCCAATTTCCAGATGTCGTCTTAATCTAAAACTTAGCAGACATCCCAGGCCCAACGGGGCACGTCCCGGGAGCTGTCTGTTTGGACGGCTGCTGCAGTGGGTTTGTCAGTGTCGTGCAGGGGACAGCCTTGGGCCTGCAGGGCCTCTGCTGTCTCTGCATCTTCCTCACCTGTGGCTGAGGCAGTGGCCCCCATGCTCAGCGTGAACACCTTGCTTTTCATTTCCTCTGCTTCCTTGGCTGCCATAAGTATGACCTGGGGGTGGGTCACGCCTATTGCTGGTGTTGGCATCAAGTCCTGGCGCAGGGGGTGACTGGGAGTGGTGCATTTCCCAGGTTGTGGGGAATGCACTAAGGATTTTAGGTGGCACATGGGAAGCTGTGTGGAATGAGGGTGGGGGAG